AGCACCTCTCAGTGGTCCGTGGGCCTGTACTCAGGGGGAGACAGTTGTTCGCAGTGGGCTGGTAGAGATGTATAAATAAAATATCGCAGTCGCAGGCTAATTAAACGTCTTCAGTTTGAGACGACGCTGCCGAGAGCCAGAGATGAAGAGGTTCCTCAGGGTGTTTCTCCTGCTTTGTTCAGTGCGGACCCATCAAACCTTTTTTTCTTTAGTTCGCTCTGTTTTGACGTGTGTGAACACTCCACCCGTATTAGGGCCTGCATCAGACACCGGTTCGTCAAAACCTGTGGGTCTCGGTCCACTTCCAACCGAACCCTGTCGAGTTCACTGCTGATGGGACGTATTTATGATCAAACGAGGGAATTCATCAGTAGAGCCGGCTTTCCTCTTCTTCTAGCAGCACATCAGCGCTTTACTGTTGGCATAATCTGCCTGTTTTAACCTCTTTACAGACTCTCATTGCTCTCATATCATTCCTGCAGCTCCAGCTCCTGTTAAAAACGGCAGACGAGCCTTAGAATAATAGCGAAGATCAGTGTTTGATTTTTGGACGAGCATCAGCGACCTGAGTTAAACTCAAACTGATAAACTGCTGACAAAGAAACGGACATCATGGAAGGATCATTATTATTATTGTGGATTGTGATGATGCTAATCCACTGAGTGGAGTGGGCTTATTTCAAATGAAGCGCTAAAGCCCTCAAAACTAAAGTGTAAAAAAATGAAGCCTGAGCCGCTTTACAGTAACAAACAGGTGGGCCTTGGGGTGGAAAAGGTTGAGAACCCCTGCACTAGAGAACGCAGGCACTCTAGGCAGACGCATACGCATGGAGGTCTTGTCCGTCTAGAAGGCGTGCACACAGCTGGAGCGGTGCGGAGTTTGAAACCCAGCAGGAAACAAAACATTTGGGCCAGAAACAAAGAAATACAGGCCATCTGGGGCCATGTTCAGAGCCGAGCAGACAACAGCCACGAAGGCATATAGAACAGGAAAAGAGTGCACAGCGTCACTACTGTCCTCCATCTTGGATTTTCATCCGTCTTCTGCCTGCATGTTTCTATTGGTTGACGTTGCAGCAAAAGTTGAAATGGTTTGGACTTTTTCGACGCTCAATGATGCGTCTTTTTGCTGCACACAGGCACGTTTCTAGTCCAACAGAGCTGACACAGCGTCCTAACTGAAATACACTGGGGGGCTGCATTTCTGATACTGCGTCACAGTTCTAGTGTGTAGGCACCCTACAGTGCTAACAACGCACGGCATTATGGTAGATCCATTATTTTGTTTATGTAAATCGATGTAGTAGTAAAGTGCTGCTGTTGGACCGAAACCTTGTATGTCCAAAATGGTAACTTTACAGGAGAAATAAAAAACGTACCTTACTTTTAATGTAAGTCTGTGGAACCAGACATTTTTCCAAGTAATTTTGGGCCGTTTATTTTTGTCCATTCATCGTATCATTTACACACTATATAAAGGACAGTGGGTATTTCAAATTATGTCAAAAACTGAAAAATGACAAGAATGGAAATACAAGGTTTTGGTCTGACGGCAGCGAAAGAATTATTCACTCTGTGGTTTGTTTTGTATTGAAATACTTTTTATTATTCTTAGGTTAATCATGTAAAAATATATCATTACAACACAAAAACATTAAAAAGCAAGCAAAAAACAAAAAAACAAATGCTTCACAGAATTCAGCAAAGTAAAAAATCACAGTCACTGAGTCACTGATACAGCAAGTGCTTCAGCTACCTGGTCTGTCATTTGGCTGCATGTTTTTATTGGCTCTGAACCTTATTTCCTCTCCTGCTTACACACAGCATTGGATCCGTAATGGACAGTCCGTTGTGAACAAAATAACTCTAGAAGTGGACCGTTTTGTAGACAGTCAACACCTGGGTAGGACAAATCAGTTGTTGAAATCTGGAGGGATATTTTTCAAACCTCCCAAGTTCAGTTTTAGAAGTTGGTTGATGATTTTCTAAAGCTATCCAACACATTCAGTGGTGTTGAGATCTGGACTCTGGGGTGGTCAGCCCATTGTTCAGCTTCTTTGTTTGGTGTGTCCGTCTCCTTTTCTCAGTGAGGTTCTTCTTGAACAGCTACACATCCTTTCAGACCCACAGCGCTGAGTCGTCTTCTCACAGTGGAAGGATGGACAGAAACACCTGTGGATGTTTTCAGATCTGAAGCTGCTTGATTTTCTCCTCTCTCAAAGATGAAAGCTTTAAGTGCTGTTTATCTGATGGGGGCAGGTTTGGTGTCTATCAGGTCTTCCAGGTGGTTGTTAGGAGCCCCATTTTCTCTGTAGCTTTTAAGCTCCTGTTTTGTCACAAAATTTCCTTTGACTTTCTTTTATTTTGTATATATAAGTATACAAAGATGTAGATAAATGTGCACAGTACTGAACAAACAGACACACAGACATATTTGCATAAGCATCAGTACTTGCTTAAGCACATACATTTAAAAATGTGCACCCTCATATAAACTGAATACACACAGAGGATCTGCTGTGTGTGTAGCTCTTATTTCAGTTCCATCCTCTTGGAGTCCTCCTGCCACTCTGGATGCACTCAACCTGTTTATTCACGCCACACACATACATATGGGATCTCTCGCTTTATGAGCTCTGATCGAGACGCCATCTGTGTAAATATTCCTCCTTTTATGAGTTTTAAACCTGTCTCCCTCCGGTGCTCCTCTGAATGTGAGCGGTGCACAGTGACCGGGGGCAAGCGCGCATGTTTTGACTGGATTAATGTGCTGTCTGATGACAGACTTTGGGAGAGATACTCTTTCAGTAACTGGACTAGCACTGAACGCTTCAGCAGATGGTCCTGATGGCACCTGACTGGTGTGAGCAAGGTGAATGAGGGAGTGTTGCCTTGTTTGGTTCTGGATGGGAGGGGAGGGGAGAGGAGAGGGAGAAGATACCAGAGGAGAGGAGTGGAGTGGAGAGGAGAGGAGAGCAGAGCAGAGGAGAGGAGAGGAGAGGAGAGTGGGAGAAGAGGGAGAGGAGAGGGAGAAGATACCAGAGGAGAGGAGAGGAGAGGGAGAAGATACCAGAGGAGAGGAGAGGAGAGGGAGAGGAGAGGGAGAAGATACCAGAGGAGAGAAGAGTAGAGGAGGGCATAGCAGTGGAGAGGAAAAGAAAGCAGAGGAGAGGAGAGGATACTAGAGGAGAAAAGGAGAGGAGAGGAGAGGAGAGGAGAGCAGTGGAGAGGAAAAGAGAGCAGAGGAGAGGGGAGGATACCAGAGGAGAAAAGAAGAGGAGAGGAGAAGAAAAGAGAGGAAGGGGGAGCAGAGGAGAAGAGAGGATACCAGAGGAGGAGAGTAGAGTGTAGAGCTCAGTAATGTTGACAAAGCTCTGTGCTGATGGTAGAGAGTAGAGCTCTGTGATGATGGTAGAGAGCAGAGCTCTGTGATGATGGTAGAGAGCAGAGCTCTGTGATGATGGTAGAGAGTAGAGCTCTGTGATGATGGTAGAGAGCAGAGCTCTGTGATGACAGTAAAGCTCTTTGATGGTAGTAGGTGGTGCAGCTCTGTAATAGGACTAGAGCTCTGTGATGCGGTAGACCTCTGTAACAGTGATAGAGCTGTGTGATGGAGGTAAAGCTCTTTGACGGTAGTAGATGGTGGAGCTCTATGATGTCGGTAGCCCCCTATGATAGAGCTACAGCTGGTAGTACTCTATGATGGTGCTAGAGCTCTATGATGGTAGTAGAGCTGTGTGATGGAGGTAAAGCTTTGATGGTAGTAGATGGTAGAGCTCTATGATGCAGCTAGAGCTCTGTGATGGTGCTAGAGCTCTATGATGGTGGTGGACGTCTGTGATGCCTCTAGAGTTGTGTGATGGAGGGAAAGCCAGAACTCTTATGTTGATGGTAGATGTCTATGATGTGCAGAGCTGTGTGATGGAAGTAAAGCTCTTTGATGTTAGTAGATGGTGGAGCTCTATGATGGAGCTAGAGCTCTGTGATGGTGCTGGAACTCTGTGATGGTGCTAGTGCTCTATGATGGTGTTAGAGTTCTTGGATAGTGCTAGAGCTCTATTATGATGGTAGAGCTCTATGGGGACGGTAGGGCTCTGTGACGATGGTAGAGCTCCATGATGATGGTAGAACTCTGTGATGGTGCTAGAGCTCTACGCTAGTGGTGGAGTTCTGTGATAATGTTGGAGTTCTATGATGGTGCTAGAGTTCTGGGTGATAGTACAGCTCTATGATGATTGCAGAGCTCTATAATGGTGGCAGAGCTCTGTGATCGCGGTAGAGCTGTGATGGAGGTAAAGCTCTATGATGGACAGCAGCAGATCCAGCTGCACTTGTCACTGACAGTCAATCCCCTTTCCATCCGCAGGTCGAGGGGGGGGGGCAGACAGGGTGGTTGTGTGTGTGTGTGTGTGTAGGGCACTGATGGGGATGTCAGGACTTGCAGGGGGCAGCGGTGGGGTCCCGTCAGCAGCAGCTGAGCAGGAGAACAGGTGGTCCTAGATGTTTCCAACAGAAGGGATACTGGATTTACTCCCAGAGCGCAAGCCCCTTTACACACTCGGTGTATCTGTCCTACAAGGACTGCACGGCTCTAAAGCTATCAAACAGATTATGGCTCCGTGTGAATAGATATCTATTAGTGCAATGCTGAAACAAGAGGGCACTGACATCTATGTTCCTGTGTGAGCTGCTCAGTGGAGGTGAGTGAAAGAAGCAGGAATAGTAGAAGCAGTGGAAGGTTTTTTTTTCAGGATGATTGGATTCGTCCATAAAAGCTGTTCCTCACTGATTATCAACACCAGCTTGCAGGAGAACAGCAATCATGCTTTTTTTGTGAATGAACTGTGTTAATTCAGTGCACATTTGTATGCATGTGTGTGCATATAAATGTACACTGCCCTAACGTGTGCTTGCTGTCGCTTCTATGGAAAAATGACCAAATGACCACCGTGCAAGTGTGTGTGTTCTAATCCTCTTCTCTTTACTGTCCTCCTGTGTAGGTAGTGCTGAACCGAAGGTTGGAACAATGCCAGATTCACCAGCTGATGTCAAAACACAGCCCAGGTCGACTCCGCCCACAATGCCACCTCCACCACCTGCCGTAAGCCAGGCAGCCAATCGCAACGCTTCGTTCACCCCAACTACCAGTAAGTGCTTTTCTTGAACTGTAGCACTTTAAATGTGAAAATATTATTATTGTTATTTTTACTATTATTTTTACATACATGTATGTGGAACTGCGTCCAGTCATGGATTTAAAAAAAAATCAAGCAAAACTTGAATTTAACTCATGCAGCTATGCATTTTTTTTTACTTTTGATTTTAAATTTTGAGTTTAACTGCCTACACTCTTAAAAAAACATGGTTCTTCAAAGGGTTCTTTAGTAAAGACAATAGTTCTCTATAAAACCATGAACACCCAAACACATTTGCATGCTTAAACAGTTCTTTTCATGGTCAAATTGTTTTTCAGATTGATGGAGAATGTGTTGTGTATGGTTCTGTATAGCACTAAAAAGGGTTCTTCTATTGTGTGCAAGCTTGACATCATACCAGTAGCAGACCCATTTTGGTGCTATGTAGACACATTTTCAAAAAAGGTGCTATATAGAACCATATACAGCACATTCACCATCAGTCTGAAGAACAGTTTCACCATGCAAAGAACCATTTAAGCATGCTGATGGTTCTTTGAGTGTTCGTGGTTCTGTATAGAACTACTGTCCTTACTAAAGAACCCTTGAAGAACTGTCTTTTTTCAGTGTGCAGAATAGATGAACTCGGCTGAAATATTAACAAAAACAAAAACAAAGCTAAGAATAATATTTCACGTTAAATACCCTGGTTCTGTTTTAATAAATGTCCATATGACGTTAATCTTTCGTTCAGTTTTCAGAAATATATTTGCACAATTGAGGTTTTATGTAGTATTTTTACATTCATGTCAAACATGAATTATTCAGTTATTTGTGCCATAAAGCCACACAATGAGGTTGTGATTGCTTCACAACTAAAAACCTATTTTATAGACTTTTTCGAAATGGGCTCATTTCCTTCAAACTTTTTTTTGAATAAGGAAAGTTATGTCTGATTCACATCTAATAGAAATTACAGATTCTTTTGTGGTTTAATCATTTTTGAAGGTTTTTGACTAAGAAGCACTAACTGTGCTCCTCTGATCTAAAAAACAGATCTGATCAAGATACTAATCACTTTTCACAAAACGTTATGTTTTCTGTATTGTTGTTCATCTATGTTAGTTCTTATGTTAAATAATGTTTTTACTGGCAAAAACACAGTTACTACTGAGATAAATAGTTTTAAACATTTTTATGGCTGCCTAACTTTTGCACAGAACTCTACATACAGTCATATGCAAACGTTTGGGTGCCCAGTGGTCAAATGATATGTTTTGTTCATTTTCTAAGTGAAAATAAGTGAACACATCCTCTACAGAGAACACACTCCTGCACATTTTAATAGACGATTACTGTTCATATGCAAAGGTTTGATATTTTCTAATATGGTAAACTCAGCAAAAAAACAAATTTTGCAGTAAAATTTACAGAAAAATGCCGTATTTAAGTGTTTTCCATGTAGACAATGTGTTTGCTTATTTTCATTTAGAAAATCAACACAGCCTGTCATATGACTGGGGGTGTTCAAGCTGTATACAGTCACCTACCCTGGGGATTGTAGACACAACAATAAGTCATCAGTGCTGCGCCAACTGGAGTTTATCCACTTACATCTTGTATCAATCATAAGTGCTAAATGTGCAAATCCCTCAGAAGGTGATGTGAAGTGAGCGAGCGAGTGAGCGAGTGTGTGGAACATGTTTATGTGGCACATTCATGGTAAATATCAGGAATTGGGTTCAGAAGTTGGGTTCATTTATCAAGGCTGAATTGCAGTAACTCTTGAAAGACTTCGTGAAGGTACTGAGCTCTCGGTAATGGTGGTGTATGAGTATGTGTGCTAGAGCAGGACTGGGCTAAAAGGCAGATGAGGATGTGAACTGAATAGATAAAGTCTCATTTTGCTGCTTCAGCACCCTCACTCTGCAGAACACACAAACTCTTAATGCCAGCACAGGGCCGCTGTTCCACTGCATTCATCCACACTGCCCTTGAAGATAAGTATGAGCGCATGCGAGAGAGTGTAAACCATCAGAGGAGGCCTAGCGATTACGGTAAAGTAAAAAAAAATCACCTCTGTGGTTTTTAATTCTTTTATTCGTATAATGATGCTTGTATTTAAACTCTGTAAGTGTTGTAGTACTGCTGTTACTTCATTAAGTTTGGGTTGGAAGCAAAATAGTTCATTTTTGTAGATTATTCAGGATGTGATATTGAGGTAGACACATCCAGGTGAGCTCTCCTATTTGTCAGATCTTCAGAAGCTGGACAGAAGGCCTTAGATTAACTATCAGCAAAATTAGGAACTAACCGATTAAGCTCACCAGACAAAAAATTAGTCACCTTTGACTGAAGCGTACCTAATAGCGTGTAATACCTCCACAAGCATGAATAACATCTGCAATTCGATTTGGCCTGGACTGGACAAGTTTCTGGATGTGGGAGACATCAATGTTCAGCCATTCTTGCATCAAAGAATTGTGCAGATCGGCAAGATTTTGAAGATGCCTTCCCTGGCGTCTTACTCATTGTTTCATTAGTTCCATAGATTTGCCGCTGCTGGTCAACCCGTATGACCGTACGCTTCGATACACCTGCAAATTCAGCTACTTCCTTCACACTGCAGCCTTTGGCCGCCCAAATACAGTCACTCCTTTTTGCCAATCATTAACATCTGACCCAGTTTCCACACTTCGAACAAGACATTCACTGCACTGTACCACCTTTTCTCAATCTATGAATCCCGTCGCACACCCGCAGGTATTTATAGCCGATCATCCTCGTGCAGCGTCATCTGCAGGAGCCTGAAGTTACTACCACGTTAAACTAATTTTTTGTCCGGTGAGTTTATAATTCAACTAATCTTGTTTTAATTTACAATGAGTGGGATTTTTTTAATTTTGTAAGACAAAAAGACACTCTAGGCCTTGTGGAAGTTCTAGATACATCACTCACCGTGGATATGTTTGGCAGCCTGTCCAGTGTGTCTCAGTCTGTTGTTAGAAATGGAAAACAGTCTTTTACAAGCTTTAAATGTCCATGTTTAATCTAGAACGGCCAATAATATTCATGTGAATCACTGTTAGCTTAATGCTAACATACTACTAGAATCCAGTAGGGGTGCTAGCAGACTCATCATAGAAGTGTTTTGTTCCTCATTTTGGACAGTCATGCCCCGACCTGATGACCTGGCACTAATAGTCAGGGGTCGCCACATGGCTATGTACAGTCATATGCAAAAGTTTGAGCACCCCCAGTCAAATCACGTTTTGTTGGTTTACTATGTGAAAATAGTACAAATCCTCTACAGGGTTTATTTGCTGAATTTAACATATTGAGAAAAAAAAAAACAAAATGTGGCGTGTGCAAAAGTTATGTTAAATATCTCAAACTAGTTTTAAATTTTAGTTTTAAAAAAATTAGTTTTAAATTTTGCAGAAAAGTGCCATATTTAAATGTGTCCCCTGGAGAGGATGTGTTACAAATATATTTGACCAGGGGCGCCCAAACTTTTGCATATGACTGTATATGTGTGTGTGTGTTTGTGTGTTTTCATGGCATTGTCTGACGCTGTGTGCTGAGCGCTGGCAGTGTGTGGTTTGTTTACCGGCCCCACTGAAGCGTGGGGTATCTGTGAGCTGGGCACATCTCTCTACCCTATATAGCAATGGCAGACTGTGTTGTTTCACCTGTTGTGCTTCTCCGCTCACCACTAAAAGCAGCGCACAAGTGCAGAGTCACATGGTAAAAGTCACATGTGTCCAGCCTGGAACGGAGAGATTAAAGGAGGGGGAGAAATGAAAGAACCCACGTTCCGCAACATGAATCCACACACTCACGCACACACACGGTCACGGCAGTGCGAACATGCCACTGATCCAAGCGCCAAGTGGCTCCGAGCCTTGAGCTTACGCAAAATAACACACGCTCTCGCACATATTCAGTCGTTCAGTGACCCCAACAGCAGTGGCCTAGCAGAACGAGCTAGTATGCATGAGTAGTCTGTGCTGTAAGTCCGTTGCTATGTTCCAAATGGTGTCTTAATCACTATTCCCTACATTGGAGCACTATAGAGGACTACAGGGAACAGAAGTAGTCCCCTAAACACTATTTCCTACATAGGAACACTATAGAACTCTATTATAGAGAAAAGAAGAAGTCCCCTAAACACTGTTCCCTACATTGGAACAGTATTGTACACTATCATAGAGAACAGAAGTAGTGCCCTTAACACTGTTCCCTACATTGGAACACTATAGAACACTATTATAGAGAACAGAAGTAGTCCCATAAACACTGTTCCCTACATTGGAACAGTATTGTACACTATTATAGAGAACAGAAGTAGTGCCCTAAACACTGTTCCCTACATTAGAACACTATAGAACACTATTATGGAGAACAGACGAAGTCCCCTAAACACTGTTCCCTACACTGGAACACTATAGAACACTATTAGAGAGAACAGAAGTAGTCCCCAAAACACTGTTCCCTACATTGGAACACTATAGAACACTATTAGAGAGAACAGAAGTAGGACCCCAATCACCATTCCCTACACAGTGCATTATGGGTATGCTATGTCTGCTTGAGTTCATCATTTGTGTATTGTAAGATTTTGGACATAACTACAGAATGGCAAACTCCCGCAATAATATACTGTAAAGTAAATAGGTTACAATTTTGGACATAGCCCAAAATAGTGAACCACACGTTGAATAGGACAAAGCCCAGAATAGCACTATATAGTGAATAAGCCATAGTTTGTAGACATGTAACACAAAATAATGCACTGCGTAGTGAATAAGCCATAGTTTCAGTCATAACTCAAAATAGTGCACTATATAGTGAATAAGGCATAGATTTGGAAGTGGCCCATAACTCTCTGTCGCCCTGCTGCCATGATGTTTGTTTTTTAGCCTCGGTGTCTGAACCCCGTAATGTAACACGGGGTGTTTTTCTTGCGAGGGCAGCCGGGACGGAGGGATGAGATGGAGGGGTAAAGAAAGGAGGGCAGCAGGGCTTGATGGAGGGGTGCAGGGGCTTCTGGACCCTAAAGCTGCAAATCTGCGCTCAGCTGGTGGACATGTGTGCAGCCCTCGATTTAGCCACACACCTGCTGGAGGAAGACGAGTAACTCTGGCCGCCGAGCTATTTTAAACCCCTCTTTAACAAGTTCCTCTTATAGTTGTGTCCTAGTGAGTGAGTGGGCGAGTGACGGAGAGTGACAGACCAGCTGGGCGAAGTGTGTATGTGTTCTGTCTTCACTCCAGGCTTCGCAACAGTTTGGCCAAAAATCAAATTTGCACAGTTTCCCCTTTTAAACCAAATGTAGTCGATCAGCTGTGGCCAGTTCGGTGTCTGAAGGTTGCTACTTTAGTTTCGCACTGGAGCTACGAGGCTAATGTAGTAGCAAACAGAGTAATTCAGTGTGTTTTGATGTGAAATGATCATTGCGGATAAACATGACTCAGACTTCTTTACAGTGGTGGTGACAGGAACCAGGGGTTGCAACATTTACAACACAGATATACCAATTTTATTGACTTTACAAAACAAACAGTAAACCTACATTAATTTTCATGTGATATTAATAGTGGTAAAATAGTGATAAATCTGAAAAACAAGTATTTTTGGGAACGATTCTGCCTCTCAATGGCCTGCATGTACCTCTCCATCATGAATGAATTTAAAGAATATGTATTTTAAGCTAAATTCCATACCTTAACATAATGTCTCAGGCATCGGGCAGTGAAGTCATAACCCTTTTACGTAATAACTTTATGTGAGGGAGCTTTTAGAGGCATTAAACTCTTCAGACGTCTGGTTCCTATCACCACCACTGTGAACAGTTCTGACTCTGTAGAACGGAGCATTTCACACCAAACCACTCTGAATGACTTTATTCAGAGTCTTAACCGTTTAATTGTTCAGCGATTTTGAAAAAATGTGGAAATTCCCTTTAAAAATTCCATTACTTGATTTGTTTTTTTAATTTATTATTTTGCACACATGTGCCAGTTGACTGGATTGTGGGTATGACCAGTGGGCAGTCAGGATGGGGCAGGATGTGCAACTCTTTGTTGTCATTGGTTGTACCTTCTAACTGGTGCTTGTCTGTGTGGTTTTAGAGCGTAATGTAGAAGTGAAGCACTTTTTAAATAACTTGTCATTGATTATCTATAAAAAATGTACAAAAATACATCACATTGCTGAAAACCGTAGTAGCGCTCTGTTTACGTACCAGAAGATGAGCAGGAAAGAGTGTAAATCTGACTACATTAATTTAAAGGAGAATTTTCTGCATAAGTAAAAGGTTAAGAACAAGGTGCAAAATATAGGGGGTCCTAGGGGGTCCGAGACTTCCCTAATTAAGCTCTTGGATCCCATATCTCAAAATCAAAATTCTGGGGAGGTTCCTGAAACTTATGAGGCTACATTGTGACCGTTAAGGAAAAATGGATGCTCAGATACAAATTCATGGAAAGCTCATTGTTCAGCCACTTCACCCGCAATCAGTGAGCTTCTGTTACTGGTATTCTTAACTAACTAGGGATGCAGCACTGCTCTGCCTCAGGGTGGCGCTGTAGCTGACTGGTTCATTCAGTTGGTCCTTCATAGCCTAGCAACTGTGACTGGGACATCTGGGATACCTCTGAAAAAACTTACAGTACATGCTGTCACATAATTGTAAATGTGAAAACTTCCAAATTTCTCAAGAGGTTGGTTGATGGAGTGAAAGGCTACTCATTCCTCAAACCCAAAGACAGAGGAGGAGATGTGTAAGATCTCAGTTCAAGTGTGGAAGAGCACATTACCAAACTACGAAAGAGCATTTCCAGAAGAGCGATTGTTAAACCAAGCATTTTGTTGCTATTGAAGCTAGCATCAGCGCTGCTGTGCTGAGTGAGCCAGCCAACACTGGAGTAGTTTAAAAAACTCCTGAAGATGTGAATAAAGTCATTCAGAGTGGTTTGGTGTGAAATACTCGGTTTTAGAGAAACTTACTGAGTCAGAATTGTTCACAGTGGTGATGATAGGAACCAGACGTCCACCTCTAAAAGCTCCCTCACAGAACGTGACATTATGAATGTGCTGCCTGATGCCTTAGAAATTGTTTTACAGTAGTTTTGAGATTTGGATGTATTGTCTAAATCTATTAATTGTGGAGGGCTACATGCAGAAATAGTCCCCAGATTATTACCATTTTACCATCATCAACATTTCATATGAAGGGCGTGTAGGTTCACTGGTGATTTTGGATAGTAAATAAAATGATTATGTTGAAGATTTCGCTATCCCTGGTTCCCATTACCACCCCTGTATAATAAGAGTCACATCCAACCACTATGAAAGACTTTATTTCTCAGTTGTTAAATTCTAATTTTGAAAAATCAGTTTAATTCCTCTTTAAGAATGAGGAAGATGATGATGGGGAAGGTTCATCCCGCTGTAACCTCCTATAACTGGCTGTGCTTGTGTTTGTCTGCAGTGTTGAACGGCAGCAGTCACTCTCCCACCGCGCTGAACGGAGCTCCGTCCACCCCGAATGGTTTCAGTAACGGTCCGGCCAGCTCGTCCACCGGCTCTCTGCCCACTCAGCAGCTGCCCCCGGCCTGCGGCGCCCGGCAGCTCTGCAAACTCAAGCGCTTCCTGACCACACTGCAGCAGTTCGGCAACGACATCTCGCCCGAAATCGGAGAGCGCGTCCGCAGCCTGGTGCTCGGCCTGGTGGTGAGTGACTCTGCTCAGTTCATTTTCACTTAGAAAATCAACAAAACCTGGTTCAACCATTTATATGTGTGTGTAGATAGATAGATAGACAGACAGACAGGCAGGCAGACAGATAGGTAGATAGACAGACAGACAGATAGACAGACAGATAGGTAGATAGACAGACAGGCAGATAGACAGATAGATAGATAGACAGAAAGACAGACAGACAGACAGATACAGACAGACAGACAGATAGATAGATAGATAGATAGACAGACAGATAGACAGACAGATAGGTAGATAGACAGACAGACAGATAGACAGACAGATAGGTAGATAGACAGACAGGCAGACAGATAGACAGATAGATAGACAGACAGACAGATAGATAGATAGACAGACAGACAGACAGATAGATAGGTAGACAGATAGACAAATAGATAGAGAGATAGATAGACAGACAGATAGATAGACAGATAGATAGATAGACAGACAGACAGACAGATAGATAGGTAGACAGATAGACAAATAGATAGATAGATAGATAGATAGATAGATAGATAGATAGAAAGACAGAAAGACAGACAGACAGATACAGACAGACAGACAGACAGATAGACAGACAGACAGACAGACACACAGATAGATACATAGATAGATAGATAGATAGATAGATAGATAGACAGACAGATAGAACCACATTAACAGCAGCAATAAAAAGATTTGTGTGAATCACATTTCTAACTCTTTAACTCTCACACTCTCTCCTTTTTTCTCTGAGATGTAATCGTTCTGCCTGTTTATCTCTCTGTCTCTCTCTGTTCTCTCTCTGTCTCTCTCTGTCTCTCTCTGTTCTCTCTCTGTTCTCTCTCCGTCTCTCTCTGTTCTCTCTCTGTCTCTCTCTGTTCTCTCTCTGTCTCTCTCTGTTCTCTCTCCGTCTCTCTCTTTGTGCTGTTATCTGTTCTTGGTGTTAAATCGATCTCTCTGTCTCTCTTATCAGAACTCCACTCTCACTATAGAAGAATTCCACTCCAAACTTCAGGAGGCCACCAACTTCCCTCTGCGCCCCTTCGTCATTCCGTTCCTCAAGGTGAGAGCACATAAACAAGCCGAGCACGTACTCACAAACACACGGACGGCCGTGCCACTTTCACGCTAGCACGAGGGCCGTGCCTGCAGCACACTCGCTCACGGCAGACTACAGCACAGATCAGCCGCCTACAGAGGACAGGGAGATGAACTTAACCCTGAATTTAAGTGAATTTAACCCTAGCAGGCTGTTACCTCATTACCCCATACACTTCTTTGTTCAGATCAGTAACCAGCAAAATATCAAAAAACTTTATCATTTTGTTATTGGCTCTAAAATGTTTTGACAGTTTTACACTATTCTGACAGTGTAGATTAGTTAGTGTTAACCAGTACTGAGTCACCAGCCTACTGGAGACTCACTGATGCAACTGGAGAAACACAGGTGCCTTTAAGGGTTTACATAAAGAACTGAGCAAATTTAGGAGTTTTAGGGGTTTTAAGGGTTAACTCGATAACATTAGAGACTCAAGATGGTAAACCTCTTCGTTTAACTCTTAAACATTCATGCGATTTGTTTATTTATTAATCATTAGATGTATTATTCATCAAATATTATGACACTTATATGTAAAGTATAGTTTACTAATATACATGTTTTTTATGGGTTAACCAGTTAATTTGTGCCTTCCTCTTTTTTTCTTGTTATTTGTTATTTTTAGCATTTTTTGATTTCGCTAACAAAAGCAAAGTGGTGTTGCTGAATTTCTAAATACAGTTATATATACAGTCATGTGCAAAAGTTTGGGCACCCCTGGACAAATGATGTTTCGTTGATTTTAAAATGAACACATCCTCGACAGAGAATGCTGCGGTTTGATGCACAGTTACTGTTTATTTGCTGAATTTAATATATTTGAAAAAAAAATAAATGTAAAATGTGGCCTCTGCAAAAGTTACAGTTATTTTATATTTTATGTTTTATCTTATTTCGTCAAATCAATAGAAATTATGCACTAAAGTGTCATATTAAGTTTGTTCCCTCTAGACGACGTGTGCTTATTTTCACTTAGAAAGGCAACAAAACATGAAAAATGTACTTTGACCGAGAGTGTTCAAACTTTTATATGTTTAGAATATATACCTTACAAATATGTCAAAGTATCAGATATTATGGTTTGCATTAATAATGAATATGAAAATATGCATTATGTGATGGATATAATGTCATTATCTATCAAAAATATCACTTAAAATGTCACTAAAAATACTAATAAAACTGAAAAGTGACATGACAGTATGTCAACTTCACTGATTTAGACTTAGCACTGCCAACAAATCCAAACAGCAGGTGTTGCCACTCTTACTGGACAGCACACTGGACAGTCCAGTCAGCTCGGTATCTCCCTCCGCGAGTGTTTAATGCAAACACAACTCCCTGCACTGTGGCTCAGCCAAAGCGTGCTGGTGGAAAAGCGGCATATGTCCCTCTCTGAGCTGCGCTAAAGCCTGGCTGTGTGTGCGCGTATAGAGTCGCTCCTTATGGCACACCATATGGGGCTGTGTTTGAAACAGACAGGCAGAGTGACGAACAAAAAGAAGGTAGATGGATGACGGCCAGAACTGACTCAAACACACACACCAGCGTACGCGTACACTTGATGCACACGTTCACTTGATGCACACAGTCTCTTAGCTGCTCTCACTGTTTTCCCCCGACAGGGAGGACGTGCGATTCCCACAGCATTGTGCGTGTGTGTGTGTGTATGTGTGCGATTGAAGTCCGGTTGATAAAGCCCCCTGAGCGGCCCGGCTGTGCTGTGGCTGCGCTCTGATGATCCAGCCTCTCCATATGGCCCTCATTTGCGATTCATTAAAACTGGCAAACTTGTGTTTACCCCGAGCGGAGCAGAGTGGCCAAAAGAAGATTTTACTGACAGATGTTAAAGCCGCCTGCATTCTGCTGCACTGCTGCAGACGACTTTAGCTCAATCATACTGTGCCCTCTAGCACTGTACACTCACACTGACACACGCTACAGCTTGACCGATATATCGGTCAGCCAGTATTACCATCTTTAAAAGAAACACCATCAGTGCTTGTTCTTAACTATTTTAGAATCAGTGCATGGCATGTAGCAATGCTCAATGGATGAACTCTAAAGAAGACCTCAGTTAAGGGTCTGTTAATCAATGTGATGATCAGTTATTGATCTCAGTGTTACTGAGCTCTGCTAAAGCCTGAGTAGACTGATAAATCAATGTGGTGATCAGTTATTAATCTCAGTGTTACTGAGCTCTGCTAAAGCCTGAGTAGACTGATAAATCAGTGTGATCAGTTATTAATCTCAGCGTTACTGAGCTCTGCTAAAGCCTGAGTAGACTGATCAATCAATGTGATCATCAGTTATTAACCCTTATTAACCTTACTAAACTCCTTTGAGGGATGATCAAACTAATGCGACAACCATGCGCTCACATCAGTATAAGTGGCATCCCATCATCCTAATGTCCACAAACATTCACAGAGTACATCAGTCTGAGCTGACTTCCCAATCTGTGGGACTCTTCTCTCTCTTCTTCTCTTTACATGATAGTGTAAATTTAGGTTTGTGTGTGTGTGTGTGTGTGTGTGTGTGTGTGTGTGTGTGTGTGTGATTGACGGTGCTGATTCTGTGTCTCAGTGTGAGGGAGATTTATCACCGTGTCCATCACTCAGTCACAGACCGCTCACACACCAGCCCTCCACATGTGTTACAGCTGCAGTGTATCAGACTGACAGAGAGAGAGGGAGAGAGAGAGAGAGAGAGAGAGAGAGAGCGGGGAAGAGAGAAGAAGAGACATGGGGGGGAGAAAGTAAGGGAGAAAGAGAGAGAGAGACATAGAGAGAGAGGAGAGAGAGAGAGAAGAAAGGGGGGGAGTAAGAGAGAGAGACATAGAGAGAGAAGAGAGAGTGGGGAAAAGAAAAAAAGAGACATAGAGAGAGAGAGGGAGGGAAAATGAAACACATGG